CCTTGATCTATACAAGAAGTAGGTCAGTGAGATTGTTACGCTCATTTTACAGAGAAGGAAAAGGGGCATAAATGGTTTAGTAATGTCCCTAGGATCGTGCATCTGATGTGCTGAAGTTGGAATTTACACCCAGGTAATCTGGATGCAGATTGCATGCTCTGAATGACTATGTTGTTCTGCATGTGAAAATTAGGTTAATATTGGACTTCTCATCTGTGGCACTGGAAGTGAGAAGATAGCCAAATAAATGTCTTTTGCAGCATCTGTCATTTGTCAGTACCAGCAAACTGCATCTTTGTGTGTGTAGAAATCAGAAAATACGCCACTCCTGCACCCTCTCTGAGAAAAGTGAATGAGGAAAATGGTCTCAAGATAGAAGACTTGGAATTTATAAAATGTGTTAAGTAAAAATGTTCTAAGGGACTGATGTGGGAGAAGTGAAAGTTAACTAGTCTTGCTCATTTAATTTGATACACTATCAGAGAAATAATAGTTAATCATAAAATTAAGATGGAAAGCACAATAGAAGGCTTTCTAGATGATGCAAGAAAAAAAGGAAATGTGGAGAAATGCAGCTCGGCCAGTAAAATAAAAAGGAAAAGAGCGATAAGATATATTTAAAAATATAGTAGAAAGAAAGTAAGATGGAAGTAATGAAATGAAATGTATTGGGGGCATAGATGTTTACTAGGGTTATGTCCTCTTGTTGAATTGTTCTCATTATTATTATGTAGTGTCCTTCTTTGTCTCTTCCTGCAGCCTTTGGTTTTAAAGTCTATTTTGTTGGATAAGTACTCCTATCCCAGCTTTTTTTTTTTCTTTTCTATTTGCATGAAATACCTTTTTTCCAACCCTTTACTTTTAGGCTGTGTGTATCTTTCTATCTGAGATGGGTCTCTTAGACACAGCATATATAAGGGTCTTGTTTTTTTATCCGTTCAGCTGCCCTATATCTTAGAGCCATTTAGCCATTTACATGTAAGGTGATTATTGATAGATACATATTGAATGCCATTTTAGTGTTAGACTATTTTCCTCTATTTGTTGTTTTTTTTTTCTTTCTTTCTCTCTCTCTTCTTTTTTAAAGCAAGCCCTTTAACATGTGTTGCAGTACTGGTTTGGTGGTAACAAATTCCTTTAGCTTTTTCTTGTCTGGGAAGCTTCTTATTTCTTTTTAATTTTAAATGATAGCCTTGCTGGGTAAAATAGCCCTGGTTGTAGATTCTTGCTTGTCATCACCTTGAACATTTCATGCCAGGCCCTCCTGACCTGAAATGTTTTTGTTGAGAAATTAGGTGACTGTCTAATTGGTGCTTCCTTGTATGTGACTACCTGCTTTTCTCTTGCGGTTTTTAGGACTCTCTCCTTGTCTTTAAGCGTTGCCATTTGACCTTTATATGTCTTGGTGTAGGCCTCTTTTGGTCCAACTTGATTAGGACTCTCTGAGCCTTCTGGATTTGTGTATCCTTTTCCTTTACCAGATTAGGGAAGTTTTCTGTCATTATTTCTTCAAATAGGTTCTCAATCTCTTTTTCACCTTCTTCTCCTTCTGGTATACCTAGGACGTGGATGTTGTTATGCTTCATGCTGTTCAAAGTGTTTCTTAAGTTCTCCTCATTTTTTAAAATTATTTTTTCTTTTTGCTGCTCTGCCTGGGTGTTTTTATCTACCTTGTCTTCTAAATCACTGAGTCAATCCTCTGCTTCCTCTAACCTACTTTTATTCCTTCCAGTATATTATTTATTTCAGACATTGCTTTCTTTATTACCAACTGGTTCTTTTTTATGTTCTTTTTAATGCTGTTGAGTATCCTTACAATCATTACTCTAAACTTTCTATCTGATAAATTGCTTGCATCCATTTTATCTAGTTCTTCTGGAAAATTCTCTTATTCTTTCCTTTGGGATCTGTTTCTTTGCCTTCCCATTTTGGATACTTCTTTGTATTTGTTTCTGTGTATTAGGTAGATCTGCAAAGACTCTGGTGAAGACCTTTGTCAGATGCTGTTTGCTACTGGCCTTGTACAACTTATTTGGACCTGTTAGCAATCTACAGCGGAGGTGTGGCGCCCTCTGCTGGGCCTATTTGTGTGCAGAAAGAACCAGGCTGCATGCCAAGACTGGCTTATATCAGCACCTGGCCTGGGGTGGGGGTGAGCTAAAGTCTTAGAGCGCCCAGAGATCCCCCTTAGTTGTTAAACTTAATCAGTGCTGTAGCCTGAAGCTGTTTTCAGCATCTGGGTTTAAGCTCCACAGGGTGGAGCAGAGTAATTCCTGTGGGTGGGGCTCTTGCTTCCCCTCAGGCTGATGCCACTTGGAGGGGACTGCTGTGCCTGAGCAAGATGGCTCCTGTGTATGGGGAATGACTCAGCACAAGGATCCTGGGGGCTGTTCCTTCAGTTCTCTCCCCAGAGCCACCAGCCCCAGACTTTCCTCACTTGTCTCTAGTTCAGTCTGCCCTCTCTGCTGGAACCCAGGGTAGGTGGCTGTAAATGGAATTTTGTGTGTTGGCCCTTTAAGAGGCTCTCTGCATCGTCAGCCATCTCTCCCTGGCAGACAGAAATCTCCGAACTTTTCACAGTCGAATATCACCTGGGTTCCTTTCCTGGCTCTGGTGCTGTAGGCTGGAGAGCCTAGCTTGTGGTTTAGACCCCACACTTCTCAGGGGGACCCCCTGGCTGCTGCATATCCCTCCAGGACTTCAGATGCCGCCTGTGGGAACCCAGCTGGCCCTCTTGTGCCTCCTCTGCACGCCCTGCCAGTCTCATAGTGATGAAGTGGTTTCTTCTGTCTGTCTGTGGTTGTAAAACTTCTCTCCAGCTAGCATTCCATAGGTTATTCAGGGTGATTTCTCTACAGTTTAGTTGTAATTCCAGATTGGCCCTGGGAGGAGGTTGGTGTAGCTTCCACTTTCTTCTTCACCATCTTGGATCACCTTTAATTAGAAATTTAAAATTTAGGTTCTTTAGTGCTCTAAAGCTCATTTCCTGTGCTTAATAGCCATGCAGGCTAGTGGTTGCTATATTGGACAGTGCAGGTATAGAACATTTCTATTCTGGGAGGAAGTTAAGTTGGATAGCTCTGATCTAGAAGGTACCACATAGGAGAACACTTAATAGACTTATGGGACATAGCTAACTGGTACTCAGAGGAAAATTGAAAACCTTTAACAACTTACATTATTTAAAATAAAAAATACAGAAAGTTAGTAAACTAAGTACCCAAGTTCAGATACTAGAAAAACAAGAAAATAAAGAGAATTTTTAATAATAGAAATATTATTTTAAATACCATTTTAAAATGCTATTTTTAATAATTCTATTTTTAAAAATAGAAGTAAAACAAAACATAGAAATACTGAAATTGATTAATAAAAAGTAATGATTTTGAACAGACTATAACTGTTCTGAAGGAAATAAACATATTAGATGCTATATCGAGATGGTATTCCAGCTGAATTATATTTACCTATTAAAAATAGATTTTACTTTTGTTCTAATAAATTACCAACAAGTTATTAATACATTTTTCTGAAGCTAATATAATCTTATATTAATACTTGGTAAAGGTAATTAAAACAAAAAAGCCAATTTTTAGATGCAGAAATTCTAAATGAGCTTTTAGCTAATCTAATTATATGCTAGTAAAAGAATAACATTTCCTTGGAATACAAAGATAGTTCACAGTAGGAAACCTATCAATATAATTTACTGCATTAACAGATTAAAGGAGAAAATCCATGTAATTCTATTGGTGGATGTTGAGAAGGCATTTGATAAAATAATTGAAACACTTAAGTATAGTAAGAATTATGGAAGAAAGTACTTCAGTTATGAGAATAATCATAGTACCTACCACAGAGGGTTGCGAAGACTTAAGGACTTCACATATGTGAAAATACTTAGAACGGTATCTGACATATCAAAAATTATCCAGTGTTAGCTCTTCTTATACTTTAAGTGTGATAGTTAATGCATAAAAAAGAATTGACAAATATTCAACTGAATGGCAAAACAGCTTGATTAAAATCATGAACAAGACAGAGTTGTTTGTTCTTACCACTGTATTCAGAATTGTTTTTAAGGTTTCATTTCTCTAAATAAAATAAAAGTAGATAATGAAGTGACTGATATAAATACTAAAAGGGGATATAAAATCTTTTAAATTGCAAATGGTATGATTTACATACTTAGAAAACCCAAGAGATGACTAAAGACTAAAAAGATACCACGGTAAGTTTAACAAAATGGTTCTGTAGCAAGAAAATTAAGAAAATGACTATATCTTTAATTTAGGATTTAAGGAAAATCAGAAGCACATCTTAAAAATGGTTATCCTTTCTAAAATTAACATGAATTTCATTAATTCCAGTTAGAAACCCAGTACATTCATTTTTAAAATGAGATCAGTGATTTTAAAGTTCATGTGGAAAGTATATTTCTAAAACTACCCATGAAAATATACTATATATTTAATCCTGTTTTTGTTAGCATTACCCCTTCCTCTTCCCTGCTGTTAACACGTTTGTGTGGAGAAGGTTGGGGAAGAAACCAATCATGCATTTGGTGGCATTTTTTCCCCTTCCCTCCGTGTAGATAATTCATGGGGAACTATAGAGCTCTTTCCTTACATAAGTATTTTTAACTCTTTCACTTACTATAGGATGTGTGTGTGTGTGTGTGTGTGTGTGCATGCATATGCGTATCTGTATATTCCTTGTTATTTAATCTATAGAAAAGAAATAAAAATGGTTAATGATTTTTCACTCATTAAAGTTGTAATCTATTTTAGTTCAACTGGAAATTAAAGCACATCATTGATTGACTTATAAGATTTTAAATAAATTTCTCAGATTAAAAAAATCCATATAAAAAACCAGAAATGTCTTTTTCCTTTAGCTTTCTGAATGTTTGGTGCTTTCTATAGTGCATAGATTAATTTTACCTAAAAAATGTTGTAAGAGTTATTCTCTCTTTTTTTTCCTCTTTTCTTTTTGTCAAGGTATGCAACCACTCATGTATTCAGTTCAGGAAGCACTAAATGCCAGACCGTGGTGGACTCGTGTGGGGACAGACATTTGTTACTATAAGTAAGTATTCTAAGGGTAATAGGACATTGGTTTACAGAAGGGATTATTAACTTCATTCTATTTCAATGTAAAGATTAGAGAGTAGAGTCATTATTTCATTGTTTGAATTGTGGTGCCATGCTTTAGTATTACTTCTAATAGAGTCCTTTAAAATACGAGATCGATTTAGGGGGCATAGTCAGTGGAAATACAGTTGACTGATAACACAGGTTCAAATCGCACGGGTCCACTTTTATGTGAATTTTTTCCAGTAAATGCCTGTACTGTTTTCAATCTGAGGTTGGAGTCCGCAGATTTGGAGGGCCAACCATATGCATTGATCTGTGCCATTTTATGTAGGGGACTTGAGTGTCTGCTGAGTTTGGTATCCACAGGTGTCCTAAAACCAGCCCCTGACAGACAGTGAGGGAAAACTGGTATAGTTAAGGTTTTGGGGAGTTAGAAGTTATACTTGGATTTTTGACTGTGCAGATATTGGTGCCTCTAACCTCCATGTGTTCAAGGGTCAACTGTAAAATGTATTTTGTAGACAGATAGTTTACGTCTAATTCTTTGTCTCCACTGCTTAGACAGCTATGTGTTCTCAACATTTTTTAGCTTTAAAATTGGCAACTTCATTGAATAAAAATGAAATTAGAAATTCTAGAAAATACTTCTGGCCAACATGGAGGTGTAGGTAGATACACTTTGCCTCCTAACACAACCAAAATAAAGACAACAACAAATTTAAAAACAAAAAATAACCAGAACTGCCAGCAAATCAAACTGTATGGAAGTCCCGACAGCCAGGAAGTTAAAGAAACATTCATCCAGACTAGTGGGAGGGGCAGAGACAGGCAGCCAGGGAGGAGAGGATGTATAGCAAGGCAGTGGTTGGAGGACCTGTGTGGAGGAAGCAGAGGCTGGCGGACCAGGCCATCCCACATTTGCATGCACATAAACTGGAGGAACAATTGGCGAGTGAGACAGACCATGCAACCCATGGTTCCAATGTGGGGGAAAAAAGCTGCAAAACCTCTGTAAAAACCTGTGGGGGTTGCAGTGGTGGGAAAAACTTCCAGCCTAACAGGAGAGTTTGCTGGAGAGACCCCCAGGGTCCTAGAATGTACACAAACTCACCCACCCAGAAATCAGCACCAGAAAGGCCTAATTTGCTTAGGGAAAGCAGGAGAAGTGACTGAAATCCGGCAGAGAGTGGAGCAAGCGCCATTGTTTCCTCCTGGACCCCTGCCTGACATTCAGTGACACAACACAGTGAAGTGGATTGCCCCGTCCTGGTGAATACCTAAGGCTCCACCCCTTACTGCATAATAGGTGTGCCTAGACAAAGAAATATGGCCTAAAAGAAAGAACAAGTCAAAGCTCAAGAAAAAGAGCTAAGCAACAAGGAGATAGCCAACCTATCAGATACTGAGTTCAAAACACTGGTAATCAGGATGTTCACAGAAATGGTTGAGTATGGTCTCAAAATAGAGGAAAAAGTGAAGACTATGCAAAGTATAATAAAGGAAAATATGCAAAGAACTAACAGTGAAGGGAAGGAAACTGGGACTCAAATCAACAATTTGAAGCAGAAGGAAAAAATAAACATTCAACAGAACAGAAAGAAGATATAAGAATACAAAAAAATGAGGAGAGGCTTAAGAACCTCTGGGACAACTTGAAACATTCCAGCATCCAAATCATAGGGGAGCCAGAAGGAGAAGAGGAAGAGCAAGAAATTGAAAACTTATTTAAAAACATAATGAAGGAGAACCTCCCTGATCTGGCAAAGGAAATAGACTTCCAGGAAGTCTAGGAAGCTCCAAGAGTCCCCAAAAAGTTGAACCCAAGGAAGCGCACACCAAGGCACATCATAATTACATTAGCCAAGATTAAAGATAATGAGAGAATCTTAAAAGCAGTAAGAGAAAAGGAGACAGTTACCTACAAATGAGTGCCCATAAGACTATCAGCTGATTTCTCAAAAAGAAACCTTACAAGCAAGAAGGGGGCTGGAAAGAAGTATTTCAAGTCAAGAAAGGCGCAAGGACCTACATCCAAGCTTGCTCTATCCAGCAAACCTATCATTTAGAATGGAAGGGCAGATAAAGTGCTTCCCAGATAAGGCCAAGTTAAAGGAGTTCATCATCACCAAGCCCTTATTTTATGAAATGTTAAAGGGACTTATCTAAGAAACAGAAGGTGATCGAAGGTATGAACAGTAAAATGACAACAAACTCACAACTATCAACAACTGAACCTAAAAAACAAAACAAAAGCAAATACATACTAAGCAAACAACTAGAACAGGAACAGAATCACAAATGGAGATCCCATGGAAGGTTTTTGGTTGAGAGCAGTGGGGAGAATGGGGGAAAAGGTATAGGGAATAAGAAGCCTAAATGGTAGGTACAAAATAGACCAGGGGGAGCTTAAGGATAGTATGGGAAATGGAGAAGCCAAAGAACTTATGTCTGACCCATGGATGTGAACTAAGTGGGGGATGGAATGCTGGAGTGAAGGGGGTACTGAGTGGAGGGGGATGAAGGGGGGAAAAATGAGACAACTGTAGTGGCATAATCAATAAAATATACTTAAAGAAATTCTAGGAAGTAACTTGTATTTATTTGTTGTTCTGATGATAGTAAGTACACTTCTTTTCTCTTCTGTGCACAAATAATTACCTCATTTTAATTTCCAAAATATATTACCTGGAGATGTATTTCATGGTTATGTCAACTTATATAGCTCAACTTTGACTTCAAATAGGTGAACTACTTAATGAGTTAGAAATAAGTGTGGTAAGTCATTTATTGCTTCAGGGGAGTAATTGGATTATTCTTCAGATTCATTCTGAAAAATCTAGAATTATGTATCTTGCTTCCCATGTTACTCTGTTTCTGCATGTAATATTTTCCAAACGACTTCTACTGTTGAAAGCAGTTGACATCTCTGTTTCTTGCCTGTTATTAATCTTAATCCTGACATTTTTGTTTGGGGAGTATTGACTTTTTCATACTGTGCTTAACTAGCACTAATATAGTTGTATCAGTTAGAAGAAGACTTCTAAAATTAAACTGTTTTTAATGGTTTATGACATGGCTTTGGACAAACCTAGGTCTTAATTGCTGTTACTTCTTGGGAAAGAAAGGGTTCCTTGGAATTCACATCAGTAGGGTTTTGCCTCTACTTTGATTTGTGACATAAATAGTAAATAAATGAGGAACAGAAATATAAGGTTATATATAACTCATCTGTACCTGAATAAACCTCATATTTATTTTAATGGTAGGCTAATATAAAAGTACTCTCCTCACCTATCTCTTTCTCGAAGTTGAAGTGGTGATGACCTGGGCAGTGCTCGGTTAGCTTTTGGCAGAATAATTTGGACTGCGAATGGGTGAAGTGGTGTCTTTCAGAAAGTAGTGTTTTCTTCTCATTTCTCCCCTTTTGCATGATAGAAATCAGCAATGAACGTTTTTCTCTTTCACATTGTAAAGTTAGTGGTCATAGCATGCTGGTAGTTGTTCTATGTAAGGGGCGATGGCAAAGATTTTTGTTTGTTTGTTTGTTTGTTTTTTCTTTCAGCTATTCCCAGCTCTGGAATTGGAATTTAGTCTCAACTCAACAGACATTTACTAATCACTTTCTGTGTAATAAGCACTTTTCTAGTTGCTTTCTCAAGGCCTGAAATCTAGATAGGCATTAAAATTTATTTTTGCCTTGTGTCTTACTTAGCTTTTTACCTCAGTCAGGTCCTTTGATGCTTGTTTGTGTCATCTGTGAAATTGAATAAAACTGCCTTCCCCCTACATGTGAGAATAGAACCTGTGAACTGCCACGTAGTTAAAGTGTGGTATAATTAAATACTTTCCACTTAGACGTTAAGCTTTTGGAGGAAAGGAGTTGGTAGGGTGTATTTTGGAATTCATTTCGTATTTTCTTCAACTTGTAGCACCTTGTCATTGAGTCTCAATTCAAGACGAAATGATGGCTCAGCTAATGGACTATATAACAATTTCAGAATTCCTTGAGTGTGTAGAAATAATCTGCAGGCCATGGCTTTTCTTCATTTTATGGCTTAAATAATACAAGGTCATTTGGAATTTTAGGAATTCAGTTGATGTACAAAGCATTTTTAGCTCAGCATATGTCGGTGATATTGAAAGTCTGGAAAGTAACCCCAGGCATGTGCTCTGACTGGGAATTGAACTGGCAGCCTGTGGTTTGCAGGAGGATGTCCAGTCAACTGAACCATGCTGCCCGGAGCTCAAGTATCTGTTTATAGAGTACTTAAGTTACACTTTTCACAAACCAACCCTGCCCCGAAGTTCTGTTTAATAAAATAACAAGAAAAATCAGAATTTCTGTATGTATGAAATAAACAGTGTATGCTTTTCTATTGCAGAAATCACTTCTCAAGAAGTTCAGTTGCTGCAGGTGGGCAAAAGGGAAAATCCTACTATACAATTACATTCACTGTCAATTTTCCACACAAAGATGATGTTTGCTACTTTGCTTATCACTATCCATATACGTATTCAACTTTGCAGGTGAGAACTCACTAAGTTGTTATTATGACTGTTATTGTGTTATGTGTATGTGTCAAATAATAGAAGATAAAATTGCTTTAATAAGAAAAAATCTAGTGTTGAAAATTTTACATAATAATACAACATTTGTTGAAAACATTGAAGGGTGTGTAAAATGGCAACGTAGTCTCTTTTTATTTAATAGAAAGAAATACTAAGGAAATTTGACGTAATTTTTGCTTTCTATCTTTGGGTCAACATCTACAGGTTCTCTTAAGATTCCATGATTTGCAGATTTTATCTAGATGAGATTTCCAAGTGTTTAATGAGAAACATTGAATCTGATAGAAAATCTAACAGTAGAAAAATGTGGGTGTGGTTTAAGTTTTCTGCAGGGAATTTATTTCTTCTAATGGTTGTGTATGGAGTCCTAGATCCAGATTGCTTAGAATTTGGGGTACAAGAGTTGTTTTGTGGGTTCTCTTGAGATTTTTGATTATTTGTATTGTAAGACAAAATAAAACAAGTAAATTCAAGTAATTACCATGGTAGGTTTATTCTCAGAAGAGAATGTCTATCCTCATAATCAAAGATCATGGAAGATATGATCAATTTATCCAGAAAGAAATTGGAGCGCTATGATTAGGGACAAGCTTTGAAATTACTGAAGAGGGGAAAAGGAGAGAAAAACACAGTCCGCAGAGCAGAAAAGATACCAATAAAGGTTACAACCTACACTCAGTTGTTGATAGTTGTCCTGGAGGGAATGGGGGTACCAGGTGGAAGGGGGCAGTGGGGGGAAAATTGGGACAACTGTAATAGCACAATCAATAAAATGTGTTTAAAAATGATAATTAAAAGATCACAGCCTAGAAATGTAAAATCAGACATCTCTCTGTGCTGAGTAACATAGCATCAGAGTGCACAGTGTTGTCATTTGTAGGGCTGTGTGTTACTCTTCTTTACTGGTGTGTACCTTTTTGGCGTATTCTGAGTTCCCCTGCTTTCTTTTAATTCCATGACCTTTCCCAGGCATTTGCGTTGTTTCTCACTTGGACTTTTGCCAGCCTTTTTCTAACTGGTGTTCTGAAGTTCACTTTTATCCCCTTTCCTCTTTATCTGTATTTTTTCCACACTGTATCAAGAAGGCTCTTTGAAGGCAAACCTGATCATGTGACTCCTCTGCTCAAAATGCCTTAGTGATTTCTGGAGCCATTTGTACAAAGTCTAAAATTCTTACTGTGGTTCACTGAGTCATTCCTTTACTGTCTGCCACAATTTTTGCCATGTCCACATACTGTGTGAGCTGCTATTTACTTAATATTTATTATTTAATAGACTAAAATAATTTACTCTTTAAAGTCTATCCTTACCCTAACTTAATATCCAGGAAATTATGGATTTAATGGGTAGACATCTTTCTAATTCACAAAAAAATATGTACCTATTACATTCTTTAAAGGTTATCCACGTATCACTTAGTTATCTCAATTACCAGTAGTAGTACATGTGCGACCCTTTAGGAAAAACTAGTCTACCAGGCCCTCCTTTCTGTGTTGAATTCTCTGTTTCTCACTGTTTCTTTTCGGTGTAGCTATGAAGAATCTATTTCAGTTCTTTGAAATGCCCTCTTCTTTTTTAGTGTGTGTTCTTCCTACACTTTCCTCTGCCTGTAGCATGCTTCTCTGTCCTCTTCACTCATCCTTTGGATCGCAGTTTAAATATAATTTTTTTTTTTCAGGAGAACTTCCCTCACTGCCCAGACTCAGCTGGGCTCCCCTCCCCTTATTACAAGCTATCACAGTACTCTGCATTGTCCCTGGGGTAGGGTCCATTTATTCATTGTTATAGCCTCAGTGCCTGGCACAGTTTCTGGCACAGAAATTGTGATCACACAGTGAATAGTGATTCTGTGAATGAGCATAGGCAAAAGTTTGGAAACCAACTAAGTGTCTTAAAATGAGGGATTGAATGATTTATATTTGGTATGACACTATACCATATCGTTAGTATATGATTCATAATTATGAATTTATGCATGTATAAATTAGTAAGTGATAAAAGAAGGTTATAAAAAGGCGTGTATAATTACAGTTTTGTTAATATATATTGGCACTTGTTAGTAGTAATCTAAGTGATGCAATTATGAGTGTTTAAATTTTTTTCTTTGTACTTTCTGCATCTTCCAGACATTTCACAATGAACCTGTATTAATCTTGAAGTCAGGGAAATTTGTTAAAAAATTTGTGCAACATAATTTTTATTCTGCATATTTTACATCACTGTTGTAGGCCCACAGTCACAATTTCAATATTCAGAAGGCTTTGAGAACCAAAAGCTTTTTCATAGTCCCTTTGGCAGCAAAGCCTGGCCTAATTGACGTGAGCTTATTTAGAATATTGATTCCACTTAGAGTGATGCTTTATGTGTTTTGCCATAGAAATAACAACGTGCTTATACAGGCTGCTGTCGCTGACCCTGTTGATGGTATTGCACATTCAGTGCTATATGTGCTGCATCTGTTCTCTTTCTTGAATTCTTCAAATACTAATGTTTGAACTACATCTGGCCCCTGAGGGTCCCAGAGGAGGGATTAGGAATCTGGTTGACTTAAAAAAATGTTTTTAGTTGAATTTATTGGAGTGACATTGGTTAATAAAATTATATAGGTTTCATGTAAAATTCTAACACATCATCTATATATTGTATTGTGTGTTCACCACCCCAAGTCAGTTCTCCTTCCATCACCATTTATCCCCCCTTTATCTATTTCTACCTCCCCTTGTCCCCTTCTCCCTCTGGTAGTCACCATACTGTTGTCTGTGTCTATGAGGTATTTTCTTCCTGCTTAATCCCTTCACCTTTTCCATCCAGCCCCCAACCCTCTGACAGCTGTCAGTCTGTTCTCTGTATCTATGAGCCTGTTTCTATTTTGTTTGTTGGTTTATTTTGCTCATTAGATTGACTTTTAGGTATGTGGATATCTAGATGCATTTATTTCTGTTTATCACAGGGAGTTTTTAAATAATTGTGTATTTTTACATTTTATCCAGATGCATCTTCAAAAATTGGAATCGGCACACAACCCTCAGCAAATCTATTTTCGAAGAGATGTGTTATGTGAAACCCTGTCTGGAAACAGCTGTCCTTTGGTGACTATAACAGCAATGCCAGAATCTAATTATTATGAACATATCTGTCAATTCAGTAAGTCTGTCTTTTTCACTCAAAATACCAGTTATTCTTACTTATTTTTCTTTGCTTTATATATATTTTGTATGGGCAGTAGCACTAGGAGCAGGCATCAGAAGTCCTGGTCCTATTACTGCTTAGCCCGGGGCCTGCTCCTGGGCCTCCATCTCCTTATCTCAGAAACGAGAGAGCTGCATGAGGTGATCTCTGAGGTCTCTTTTGATGCTAATTCTCTGTAGTTCTTATCCTTGGAAGTCATACCCAAGGTGTAATGTCACAGATTATTTTAAGAGCTTAATGTAATACTACCATCAATTTAAAATTTATAGCTAGTTTTATTTATAAATAAAATCACCAGAAATTTTATGCTAGCACTGAATAGCTACTTGTTTTTCCCTGCTGTTTATTTTTTTAAAAGTTGCGTCAAATGTATGGCTGTGATAGAAAAAAAATAAGAAAACCGTTCTAATTTTGATGAAAAGGTTGAATATTTTCAGGAAAGAGAAAGAGCTCGCTGTGAATGAAAATAGGAGCAGGTGAGCTGAGTGATATTTTGCAGATGGGTTTGCGTGTATAGTGAAAATGCTCTTCTTTGTATATCTCTGAGCACATATACCTTTCTTCTGTCCTTATAATAGTGACTATAAAACAGGGATAAGACAATTATTTGTATGATTACTGAAAATAACACACACCTCGTGGCAAAAAAACAAAACAGGGATAAGATTATATTTTCCTTCTTTTCCCAGTGACTTTATGAAAATATATTTATATTTAAAACTTCCTCAACTACTTATTCTTTATAAAGTCAAAATTATATTAAAGAACTGATTTTATATGCTAGATTAACCACTGGGAAATAAGCGACTCAAATGGTATTCATTGATTAATGATTATGTTATGAACTCCTTTAGGACATGGCTTATGGGGGCTTCACTTCTGTTTCCTCTCTAGGACCTACTGCAGTGCGTGTGTACAGTAGGTGCACAGTGCGCTCTACTATGAATTTGTATCAGAATTCACATTTGAGGAGAAATATTTCTAAAGCCCCAGAGTCAAATATCATACAAACTTTTAATAGTTGCTCATTTTAATTTGAGATTTTATGTGTACTTTAGGAAATCGCCCTTATGTCTTCTTATCTGCTCGGGTACATCCTGGAGAAACTAATGCAAGTTGGGTAATGAAAGGAACATTGGAGTATCTCATGAGTAATAATCCTACTGCTCAGAGCTTACGAGAATGCTATATTTTTAAAATTGTCCCTATGCTAAATCCAGATGGTGTCATCAATGGAAAGTAAGTTAAACAATAGTTATAGAAATACTATAGCTTATTGTGGTGGTCCTGTCTAAAATTGTTGAAGTAATGTCATCCAGGGTAAATTTGGAAAGCAAATCTAGTGGTTTTTCTAGAGCAAAGAAATTTTTGGTGTGGAATTCATTTAATTTTTTTTTAAATGAAAATATATTTTGTATATTAGTAGTATGGCATTGAAAATTCTATATTCATGAGAACATGATTTCATAAAGTGTATATCTTGCTTGAGTTATTTTAGAAAAGTCACAGTGTCAGGATATGAGAAAGATTTTTTTTAACACATCCTTTTATATTGCTTTCTTTTTAAATTTTGTCAGTGGTGTGATCTTAGTTTGTTATAAAATTTAGAATCTTCTGGGATCTCTTTCACTGATTCAGAGTGTTGGCTCTATCTGCTAACTTCTTCCTGATACGAGGAAGTATAGTTTCTGACAAGGAATTCTCTAACCTGGAGGTAGTAGAAGATACCGCTTTTTAAGAGAAGGTAGCTTATTGTTAGTGTAGTTCATTTATTATGGCAATTAGACAAGGTCTTTTTAGTGCTTCTGAAAGATGGGATTTGACATAAGAATCTCCAAAACTGAGGGTACCATATTTTATTCAATAAATGTAACATGAACCTTTCTCATATTTTAGAAAATTTTTCAATAAAAAAGGGATAATTTATTTTTAGATAGGTTATGGTAATGGAACTAAAATAAAATTTTATGTCTTGTTTTAATTCAGGAATATATTGACCAGTTAGAATTGTTTATATTTCTGTTATTACCTTCTGATTGCTTAAATTTTTGTTCAATGGTTTTAATACTTAATACCTTGATTAAATACAAATGTATTTGAATTTTCATAAGAATGTATACTTTTCATATAGTTATCTTAGGAGATCCCAGATAGCACTTCTAATAATAACTAATACAATCAAAATACAAAATGTTAGTAAAACAAATGAGTATTATTTAGCCAGAATGAAATACATGACCATTAATTTTTATGGAGTATGGAATAAAATCCCAGAATTGAGGATTAATTTTTTTCTATAGCTTGAAAGTTTTGATTTCTGAATCTGAAAGCTTACCACTTTTAAATGCATGTAACACAGGGTCTTGGACATAGCAGATACTTAATAAATGATTATTTAATGACTAAAAGATGGATTTTGTTGAACCTACCATTTATACCTATTTGACATATTTGGTGGAATAGAACCATAAAATTAATTCAAATATACATAGGGATTTATTGACACCTGTGTTTGTCTATCACTGTGCTTGCCTATGTTCAGCCACCGCTGTTCTTTAAGTGGAGAGGATTTGAATAGACAGTGGCAAAGTCCAAATCCAGATTTACATCCTACGATTTACCACACTAAGGGGCTGCTACAGTACCTGGCTGCAGTGAAGCGTATACCACTCGTAAGTGGAACATTTGTACTTTGTATAGTCAAAGACATCATTTTATTAATTAATGACTTAGTGTTTTGTACATTACTTTCTGGTAATAAAAGCTAAGTGTTAATTTCAGAAACAACTTCTTTAAAATATCTTTTTTTCCCTTATCAGTCACTTGTGTAGTAATTATGGTGTCAAATTAATATAATTTATTCATATTCTTATTTTATCAGATTTAATTTTTATAATTCTCATGAACTCTTTACTTTTTTTTGTTTATGAATATTGGTAACTCCTAGTTGTAAGCTTTAGGTATTTAATGTCACTGTTTGAACAACACTAAAATACCAGTATTGTCCAAATTCTCAAACTAGTAGAAGTTTGTGTCTGAGCTCTTCAGCCAGCTCTGAAACTGGTAAGTTTGGAGTATACACATGAGGGAAAGGTCGTGCAGGCACGGAGGGAGACTCCACAGAACTGCGTATGTAGCTGCTTCTGTTTTCATCAGCTTTCGTTTAGAATGTTTCATCCTATTAGTGTTTCAATGAGTTAATTTTCCTTTCGGAAATACAGAAACACTTTGCAGAGGGGCAAAATTGGCATGTGGGTCAGCACTTCATTTTTCATTTCTAAAATAATACTCTTAAAAATTAAATTGAAACCATTTTGAGGTTTTTTTAAAAAAAATAAATAATGCTCTTAAAATTAAATTGAAAATCATTTTCATGTTTTTTAAAATAAGATAAATATTTTAACAGCCCTTGGGGCAATGATGACTACAGTTGTAGATTTGACCTATAACTGATTTTATTATTTTTTAAAATGGTGAGTAGCCCTGGCTGGCGTGGCCCAGTTGCTTGAACATTGATCTGCAAACTGAAAGGTTGCCGGCTCGATTCCTGGCCAGGGCACGTGACTGGGTTGTGGGCCTTGTCCTGGTTGGGGTGTGTGTGAGAGGCAGCCAGTTGATGTTTCTCGCACACATCAATGTTTCTCTCCTCTTTTTCCCTCTCTTCCCCTCTCTGTAAGATAAATATATGAGTAAAATATTTTTAAAAAATTAAAAAATAAAATGGTGAATATAGATATAAAAGAAAGAGTGGAATTCATGGCTTGATGCAGTACTTGCAGAAGACTTTCTAGCCATTCTGGTAATCATAGATTTCTTTCTAAAATTCGATATTACTGTTTTTATCGGTCCTGCTTGTTAAATGGTGGCTCAGTTATAATCAAAGGACCAAGGAACACAGACCTATTTATTGGCTAATAGTAACTAGATTTATGTGACATTCTGTGCATTTGAAGGTTTTTAATTCTGAAAGTGTATTATCTTTTCAAGGTTTATTGTGACTATCATGGCCACTCCCGAAAGAAGAATGTGTTCATGTATGGCTGCAGCATCAAGGAGACAGTGTGGCACACCAGTGCTAACGCCACCTCCTGTGATATCGTGGAAGATGTGGGATACAGGGTAATTACCACGGAAAGCCAGGGGTTTTTGAGTTTCACACATGCACACGAGTACAGAAATGATTTCGCATATGAACGACTCAGATTCGGTTCATGTTGCCATTTTGTCATTATTGTTTCAGATGTTTTCTAATTTTTTTGCTTTTCACACTTAGATTTTTGATGTACTTGGAATTTGTTTTATATGAGATGTGGAGGTCTAATTTTAGTTTCTCCATCTATAACCATTTATTAAACAGTATATCCTTTCTCTGCCGATTTTATAAAGCCACCCATTGCCTACCAGTGTTTCTGCACATGCGGTGTGTGGAGCACTGAAATGAGATCTTACTGCTTCAAGTCCTGTGTGCTTCCCATTTTGTCCCAGAGCCTCTTGTGCTAAATTTGTGCCTAAACAAGGACCACAGGTTATTTTTCAGAAAATGTTTCAGTAACGTACTACTACTGTTAGCAGAACTTCGAAGTACATTTTCTTTTTGGTTCTCTCTCTTCTCCCCCTTTTCCAAATAAATAAAATGATTAGTTATATAAAAAATGGAAACATCAGGAACACAAAGTGCTAATTGAAAGTAATCTCTCAATTGATTACTAAGTAATCAATTTTACCATTCTGAGCACATTCATTCATAAATCTATATGTAAAGTATATGTGGGTTTTTTTTTGCAATTTCCACAGCAACTTGTTTTTTTTACAATTCTTACCCAAGAACATGTTTATTGATTTGAGAGAGAGAGAGAGAGAGAGAGAGAGAAACATCGGTGTGGGAGAGAAAAATCGATAGGTTACCTCCCGTGTGTGCCCTGACCTGAGATCGAACCTGCAGCCTTTTGGTGTGCAGGGACGGTGCTGCAACCAGCGGAGCCACCCAGCCAGGGCAGGAGCCTGTTTCTCCACACAGTGTGTGTTGGCCATCTTTCCTGGTCCTCGTGTGGGGATCTGTTTCGGTCTTTTTGACAATTACACAAGATTTCATTGTGCATTTTTGTTCCTATTGTATGGATGTACCACAGCTTATTTATTCAGTCATTCCCCGTTGGTGGCCATTTGATTAGTATTGTCAAGTTGTCCTTCATAAAGTTGATACAAATTGATGTTCCCCAATATAATGAATGATAGTACTATTTCTGCACACCCTAGTCACGTAATACGGTTGTCTTTACCAGGTTAAAAAAAAATCTGATGGTTTAGTTTGCGTCTCTATAATTTTGTGGTCAAATATTTTTTCATGTATTTGTCTAATTATGATTTTTCTCTTTTGTAAAATGGCCTTTTCTCATATTCTCTGCTTGTTTTTGTGCTGGTGGTCATCTAGTTATTGTTTTTGAAACTTTGTGTTTTACAAGTATATTGAGAATTTTATTTGTTTATGGTGTGTAATAATTTAAAATTTTATCTTATTTGTTGAATATTTTAAAAAATGGCATCTGGGTTTTGTGGCTTAGAAAGAATTTTCCCATTTCAAGATTTAAAAATGTAGTTCTCTGTTTACTATTTTTAGTTTCATTTTAAAATTTTACATTTAAATTCTCAATCTAATTAGAATTTAATTCAATGAAGGGTGACTTGACTGTAGCTTGTTTCTCAGTGGCTATCCAGGTGTGTCAGTATTAGTGAATGATCAGTGCTTTCTCAAGTTACAATAATTATATTACATTTAACACATACCTTCGGTTCTAATTTTGAACCAGATATATTTCTTTCTAGAGATATATCTATTCGTACTCCAGTATCACAGTTTAACTTAACCTTAGATATGTAATTTAGGTTAGTATCTGTTGGATTATTTCTCCAGTCCTAGCCTTTTCTTTCAGAATTCCCCAGGGTGTGTGCCCATATTTACACTTTCAGGTGAATTTAAGAATAATTCTAAGTTGTAAAAAATGTTCTGGGCATTTTGATTGTGATTGTCTTAGCTTTACTGATTAATTCAGGATGCTTGACATTTACAGGCAAATCTGAATTTCTTCATTTTTTAAACATGTTTTTCTCCATATTTTTAAACATGGTTTTTCTTACATGGTTTTATTGTTTATTTGTTGCTACTATAAATGTGATATTTTCTTCCATTCTATTTTCTAATCATTTGTCTAGGAAAGCAGAAAACTATAAATTAGTAAGAGAATTATTTTGATGTGACCCTGCTCTAATCACTGTGCTTTCATGAAAATTTTTAAAGATGAAAACATTTAACAATTAAAAAAAAGTCTTGAAATACTGTTTTATCATTATCTTTGCAGACTTTGCCTAAGATACTGAGCCATATTGCGCCAGCATTTTGCATGAGCAGCTGTAGCTTTGTAGTGGAAAAATCTAAAGAATCCACAGCGCGTGTGGTGGTTTGGAGGGAGATAGGAGTACAAAGAAGCTATACCATGGAGAGTACTTTGTGTGGCTGTGATCAGGGAAAATATAAGGTAAAATATTTCAGGATTTCTAGCCATAAAAATATTTGAAGACTTTTCTTTATGTTTTTAATCCAATGCTTTTCAAATATATATTCAGTAATACATTTGTTATACCGAGTTATATGTAATTTGTAATAATGAAATTGAATCTCATGTAGTCTTAAAAACATTAATAAAAATTCCTCTGAACTAAATAGCTTGCCTTGGATTCTCACGAAGTCTTTTTTTTTTTTTAAAGATTGTATTTGTTTTATTTTTAGAGAGGGAGGATGGAGGGAGAAAGAGAGGGAAAGAAACATCAAATGGTTGCCTCTCACACACCCCCAGCTGGGGACCTGGCCTGCAGCTGAGGCATGTGCCCTGACCAGGAATCTACCAGGCATCCTTTCTGTTTGCAAGCCGATGCTCAATCCATTGAGCCACACTAGCCAGGGTGGATTCTCATAAAGTCTTGAGTCTACTTATATTCAAAATTTTTAAGAAAGCATATTGTGGTACACATTGAAATACTGATCAGTAATTTACTTCCGACCAAGATGGAGGCATAGGTAGACACACTGTGCCTCCTCACACAAACAAATGAAGAACAACAACAAATTTAAAAATAAAAAACAACCAGAACTGACAGAAGATTGAACTATACAGAAGTCCAACAACCAAGGAGTTAAAGAAGAAACATTCATCCAGACCAGTAGGACGGACAGAGATGGGCATCTGGTGGAGAGGACACGCAGCAAGGTGGTGGCTGGCGGTTCCACGTTTGCATGTGGATAAACCCAGAGGAACAACTGGGGAGAGAGACACACCGCACAGCCCAGGTTCCAGTGCAGGGAAATAAAGCCTCAAAACCTCTGACTGTAAAAACCCATGAGGACTGAGGCGGCAGGAGAAACTTCCAGCCTCACAGGAGAGTTTATTGGAGAGACCCACAGGGTCCTAGTATGTACACAAATCCACTCACTTGGGAATCAGCATCAGAAAGGCCCAAGTTGCTTGTGGGTAGCAGGAGAAGTGACTGAAAGCCGGAGGGGAGCCGAGCAAGCTGCATTGTTCCCTCTTGGACCCCTCCCTCACATACAGAGCCACAATGCAGTGAAGCAAGTTGCCCTGCCCTGGTGAATACCTAAGGCTCCACCACTTACCACGTAACAAGTGTGTCCAGACAAAGAAACATGGCCCAGATGAAAGAACAGATCAAAACTCCAGAAAAAGAAAAAAAAGAAAAAACAAACTTAGAAAAAGAACTAGGCAACCAGGAGATAGCCAGCCTATCAGATGCAGAGTTCAAAACACTGATAATCAGGATGCTCACAGAAATGGTTGAGTATTGTCACAAAATAGAGGGAAAAATGAAGACTATGCAAAGTATAATAAAGAAAAATATACAGGGAACTAACAGTGAAGGTAAGGAAACTGGGACTCAAATCAACAATTTGGAGCAGAAGGAAGCAATAAACATTCAACTAGAATAGAATGAAGAAACAAGAAATCAAAAAAATGAGGCTTAGGAACCTTTGGACAACTTGAAATGTTCCAGCATCGAAATCATAGGGGAGCCAGAAGGAGAAGAGGAAGAGCAGGAGATTGAAAACTTATTTGAACAAATAATGAAGGAGAACTTCCCTAATCTTGCAAAGGAAATAGACTTCCAGAAAGTTCAGCAAGCCCAGAGGGTCCCAAAGGAAGCACACACCAAGACACATCATAATTAAATGACCGAAGATTAAAGATAAGGAGAGAATCTTAAAAGCAGCAAGAGAAAAGGAGAGAGTTACCTACAAAGGAGTTCCCATAAGACTATCAGCTGATTTCTCAAACCTTATAAGCAAGAAGGGGCTGGAAAGAAGTATTTGAAGTCATGAAAGGCAAGGACCTACATTCAAGATTACTCTATCCAGCAAAGCTATTATTTAGAATGGAAGGGCAGATAAAGTGCTTCCCAGATAAAGTAAAGTTAAAGGAGTTCATCATCACCAAGCCCTTATTTTATGAAATGTTAGAGGGACTTATCTAAGAAATAGAAGATGATAAAAAATATGAATAGTAAGGTGACAACAAACTCACAACTATCAACAACTGAACCTAAAAAAAGCAAAAACAAACAACTAGAACAGGAACAGAATCACAGAAATGGAGATCACATGGAGGGTTGTCAGTGGGGAGGGGTGGAAGGAGGGTGGGGGACAAGGTACTGGGAATGAGAAGCCTAAATGGTAGGTACAAAATGGACAGGGGGAGGTTAAGAATGGTATGGGAAATGGAGAAGCCAAAGAACTTACATGTACGACCCATGGACAGGAACCAAGTGTGGAGGGAATACTGGAGGGAAGCAGGGTACTGGGCAGAGGGGGATTAAGGAGGCAAAAAAATGGGACAACTCTAATAGTATACTAAAAAATATAGTTTAAAAAAGTAAATAGTGGTTAGTAACTTATAATTAGTTGTGCACATAGTACATTATCAGTAAGATTTTTCTTTTATTTTGTTGGATGTAAATATATTTTTATGCATAGAAATGAATACACTTATTTATAAACTTTATATTTAGCTTTTTGTGTGTGACTTTGAAATGTATATCCCTTCACTACATTTTTTTTTTAGTAAGACTGCTCTCTGTAGTGCAGTCTAAGGCTTTTATTGGAAACAAGCTGTGTTTTAAACTTTATTTTTGAAATTAAAGACTAATGAAATGTTAGATGACTTGGAACTTTTTAATTTTAGATATTGAGAACTTAATGGCAATAAATTAGACTTCAGGTAAGCAACGGCAAACCTGAGTATCTTTCTTGCCTTGGCACAGAAAGAGTTTCAGGTGTCCTGCTAATTATGTATCTCCTTCTGTTTCGTTTTGCTTTGGGTTTTTTAGCATAGGGCAATAGGAAAGTGAATGTAATAGTGATTTTCATATACCTTCCATAAAGATGGTTATAACTTTATGTTTGAAAGGAGCTAAAAATCTTCCAGTTGGTTAGTATTAAAAATGCAACCATATGACACTCGATGTCAAAATATTTAAACAGTCTGTAACAAGCTGGAAGAAAGTTGTCGATTTTGTAGCTGACACTCAAACTTTTGGGGCCTGGTAGAGTAGAACTTAATGACATTTCAGTGTCTTCTGTGTTAAGTTGACCACAGTATATGCTTCCAAAGTGTAATAGTATCTTTTGAGTTCTCTTCAAATACTGTTGACTGGTGACTTCTAGTTTACCGAGGGCATGACGGCGGTGAGAGATGAGATGTGGGAGAGCCCCGTTGCAGCCATGCCCCTGTCCCCTCGTCATTGCTGTAGTGGGCTGCTTTGCCGAGGCTCATTGAAACTCCCGTGGAGAAGTGTGTCTTCCTAAGCCAAGTTGTTTTTTTAGTGTCTAAAATTCAGTGCTTTGATCATAACATACATTTTTTTAGTTTTTTTAAATTAATAAATGTTTTTTAGAGTAGTTTTAGATTCACTGAAAAATTGAGTGGAAAGTGCAAAATTCCCATCTGCCTCCACCTCCACATGTGCATGTAATATATACTTTTCAAACTTACTAATATTAGCTAATAAGTGGTATATTTTTAAAAAAGATTTTTTCTTCCTGAAGAGTATCTTGTATTACTGTATTTTAGACTATAAATGTTCTTATAGTTTTCTGTGAACTAGTTTAGAAATAGGCATAATCTTTCTAAAGCTTTTAAATTAAGAAGGCAATTGAATGTTCTAATTCAATTTCACACAGGTAAGTATTTCCTAGAATATATGGAGATGCCAAACTCTACATAATCAATCTACCAACCAGTCATTATTGTAAAGGCATGTAGGTTAAGTAATAGTTTTTACAATTTGTTCTCTTCAGTTGCCCTGTGCTTTTGGTCCTTTCGTAGGAAAGTTGTTTTATAGTACCTTCTCTCTAAATGACGTCAGCACTCACGTACACCTGCAACTTTTATCAATGTAAGAATTTCACTTATTTTGGACATTCCTTTTTTTCTGAAAAGTAAATGATAAGCAAAATATCGATTTACATTCAAGTTTTATCCTTTTATGTGGTTACATTGAACTTCTGTAAACCTTATATTGTTCACTGGAAAACTCATGTAGAAAAGGGTGTGGGGGTCGTGGTTACAATTTCCTCTTTGCTTTGGTAGACAAAATTTGAGATGGACATTCTTAATCGACATGGAACAATAGGAATTTAGTTTACTGCTACCTCATTGGCTTAGACTTGTTTGGTATTTTTTGACATAGGTATCTTTGGTTTGTTTATCTTACAGAAAAAGTACCTATAAGGTAATGTTCAAGTATACAAATTGGAGCCTTGATTTTAACGCTATAATATTTCAACATTGTCATCCAAAGTGGTAGATAACAAGAAATATTAGGAAGATCTTGTAAAAATATTTTTTTCACACATGAACTCCAAGACTAACATAAACACACAATGTTTATGTATTTTTTTCTCCCAATGTATTGGTGAAAACAGTTGCATTGGGTGATTAAGAATAGACAATTTAGAAATGTTTTTCTAACACAGTTTCCTTTGTGACTTAGAATATCTGACATTGTTAAGACATTGTGTTTTTGAGCCCTAGGTCCATACCAAATAATAATCTTTTAATTTTATTAATATAGTTATAAATTACTTTTATGTGATTTTAATGAGAAACAGCAGGATGATAGCAAACACCCTATTACATATATAATATTGCTTTATTTCCAGGGCTTGCAGATTGGTACCCGAGAACTGGAAGAGATGGGAGCAAAATTTTGTGTTGGTCTATTGCGTTTGAAAAGACTGACATCCCCTTTGGAATATAATATGCCTTCCAACCTGCTCGACTTTGAAAATGACTTGATCGACTCCAGCTGCAAAGTAACTAGGTAAGACGCACTTGTTTTATTCCATTGTTACCTTGTAGTATGTTAGACTTCATTAAGTCTGTTAAACGTAGGAAAGGCAGAGATTTTGACAGCCAAGAACATTTTTAAGATTACTGTAATTAAATTTACACATTACTGTTTGTTCCAAATTGTGAAAATATTCTTGATTCTTTTAACATTAACATTGGATGAAATTTTAATGAAGTAGTCTTATATTTTGAATGTTGTTTTTAGTGGAAAACTACTTATATCAGCTAATATCTAAATTAAGAGGGTTTGGAGTTAGGATTCACACTTTGAAAGAAATTTAATTTTGTTGCTATCTACATACATCAGATAACTTTCTGATAAATTTCTGGTTTTGTATACCAGAAACAGCTAATTTAGTATCCCTTTGAAAATTTAACTATGATACATATGTCAAATATTCTTCTGAATAGGTAAATTTTGTCCCTAAAATTCAATATATATAAAATTTGATCAGCTATAGGATCAGAGATGATTCAGTGTCATAGTTGTTAATCATACTGTCAGAACTTAGCATTTCATAGTTTGATGTATACGGGTAAGAACACTCCCTTTGTATGGAACCTTCGTTTTAGTTTTTAGACATTGACTTGTCATCAGATTTAATTATGGCCATGCTCTGCCGTGTGTACCAACTTGGCAGCTTCAAGTACAGTAAAACATTCATTAGAACTCTGTTCTTCATAGTGTGGTAATTGACAGAGGGGTTGCATGAATTGTTCCCCCTGGAAAGTGCCTGCTAAACACTAACAGAGACTAACATAGAGATGGGTGGTGGTTCTCATGGATGTGTAGAAACCTCCTTTTAAGTTATTTCATGTATTCTTCCCTCCCCCAGCTTTGTTGAGGTGTAATTCCCAAATAAAATTGTAAGATATTGAAAGTATATAGTGTAATTTAATATACGTATCCATTGTCAAGTGATTTCCCCTATTGAGTTATTAACATGTCCATCCGTTACCTCACCTGCTGATAGTTGTGTGTGTGTGTGTGAGAGAGAGAGAGAATATTTAAGTTCTACTCCGTTAGCAGATTTTGGTTATACAATCTGGCATTATCAACTGCAGTCACCATCACTACCTCAGGCCTTATTCATCTTACAGTGGAAATTGGTGCCCTTTCACCAGCCTCTCCCTGTTTCCCTGCCCTCAGCCCATGGCAACTACTCTACTCTGTTTTCCTTATTAGTTCCATTGTTTTCCTTTCCGATTTCACATTTAAATGACACCATGAAGTGTTTTTCTTTGTCTGGCTTATTTCACTTAGCATAATGGCCTCTAGGTTCATCCATGTTACAGCAAATTAAAAGATTTCCTTCTTTTTTTAAGGCTGAATAATACTCCATTGTATATCTGTTTACCACATTTTCTTTATCCATCTGTCCAACAAGGGACACTTAGGTTGTTTCCACATTTGGCTATTGGGAATAATACTGCTTTGTGCATCGGTGTACAGATCTCTCTTGGAGATAACGATACTGCTCCCTTTGGATGTATACTCAGAAGTGGGATTGCTGGGTCACATGGTAGTTCTCTTTCTAATTTCTCGACGAACCTCCATATTTTTTCATAGTGGCTGTGCCAGTTTACATTTCCACCAACTGCGCAGGGTTCCCTTTACTCTATATCCTCACCGTCATTTGTTCTCTCTTCTCTTTGGGTAATAGCTGTCCTGACACATGTGAAATAATATCTCATTGTCATTTTGATTTGCATTTACTTGATTAGTGATGTTGAATGCCTTTTCATGTACCTGTTGGCCATTTGTATGTCGTCTTTGGAAAATGTCTACTTAGGTCTTTTTCCCATTTTTAAATTGGGTTATTATTTATTTATTTGTTTATTTATTTGCTTTTGAATTATGTGAGTTCCTTGTATACTTTGGATATAATACTCTTAATAAGATAATGTGGTTTGCAAGTATTTTCTCCCATTTCATAGGTTTTGCCTTTCTTTTCATTTTCTTGATAGATTCCTTTGCTTTGCAAACACTTTTTAGTGTGATGTAGTCCTACTTATTTATCTTGCTTTTACACTTGAGAAAAATTGGTGCTTGGAGAGAGTAGTTTGCCTAGGGTCACGCAGTTGGTTAGTAGAAGCGTAGATCACAAGAGAATTTCTGACTCTGTATGGAGTGTTTTGTTTCTTTTGCTTGCATAGGTAACAGCTGAAGATCTGCATTCTGCTATCTCAGATGTCCAGTCAGCTCTAATGGACGTACACTGGTGTACGTGTGAGGAAGGTAGTGAATTTTTTAGGTTTAATTTTGCCCAGTGCTTAATAGTTTAATATAAAGATAGCCTGAAAACTTTGCATTTGAATGAAGCACAGTTTTCCCTGTCATTAGGAAATAGTGCAATCACACAGAATGGGAGACCATAATCGCCGATACATCTGATAAGGGGTTAATATCCAAAATTCACAAAGTACTTACAAAACTCAATACCAAAAAAACAAACAGCCCAATTAAAAAATGGGCAAAGGACCTGAATAGACACTTCACCAAAGAGGATATACAGATGGCCAATATGAAACGGTGCTCAACATCACTAATCATCAGAGAAATGCAAATTAAAACCACAATGAGATACCATCTCACACCTGTCAGGATGACTATCATCAGTAAATCAACAAACAAGTGCTGGGGAGCATGTGGAGAAAGGGAACCCTTTTGCACTGTTGGTGGGAATGAGCCAATGTGGAAAGCAGTATGGAATTACCTCAAAAAACTAAAAATGTTTCTTCCTTTTGACCCAGCTCTCCCACTTCTGGGAATGTATCTGAAGGAACCCAAAACACTAATGCGAAAGAACATAAGCATCCCTGTGTTCATTGCAGTGTTATTTACAATTGTCAAGATGTAGAAGCAGCCCAAGTATACATCAATGGATGAGTGGATAAAACAACTATGGGACATTTACACAATGGAATATTACTTGGCCATAAAGAGGAAGAAAATTTTACCTTTTGCAACAGTATGGATAGACCTGGAGAACATTATGCTAAGTGAAATAAGCCAGTCAGAGAAAGACAAATATCATATGACTCACTCATATGTGGAATCTAGTGAACTAACTGAACTAACAAACAAAATAGAGAAAGACTCATAGATAGCAGATGACAGCTAGTGGGGGAGGGTGAAGTTAGGGGGTGGAGGGATTGAGCAAAAAGGAAAAAGACTCATGGGCATGGACAACAGTGTGATGATATCTGAGGGTAGGGGAGTATAAGGGGACTAAAGAGGAATGGAAAAAAATACAGTACAGATTAAAAAAGAAAACAATTGCAATTATGAACTTTTCTGCATAATAATGATGCTGTGCAGTGGAGAATTTCAATGTCTTCATCTTGTGAGAAGGCCTCTTAGGTGAAGGTTTTCATATTTTTATTGAAGCAGCATGAGGAGGATTTGTTCTGAGATTAAAATGCTATTCTCAAAGAGTGAAATATTTCTTATTGAATTGTTTTTGGCATAGACACCTTAATACTGAGAACAAAATTCTAGAGTAGAAGGGTGTTAAGGCAGGTGTATGTAGTACAGCTATCAGAGAATGAAGCAAAAACAAGGCAAACGGAGTAAACTTACATGAAGAAAATGAGGTAAATGAAGAAATTGTGGTGGGAAAACAAAGTAATAGCAGTGAGAAAGAATAAATGCTGATTAGATATTTTTTATGATTGAAATAATATTTGAATTTCTATCTGCTAATGGAAAGGGATTATTTTATAATCCTAGGGCAAATACCTTTAAGTCTTGCTCTTAAGTTAAGACTACTGTGAGATCATGTGTCTGAAGATACTTCCTAAATTGTAAAGAGCTTAAAACATATGTTGGAATTCTTAATAAAAGTCAGATTGAATTGCTATGATTGGTCTTGTGTCTTGAGGTGTTTTTTTTTTAACTAAAGTAAAACTAGTGGGATTGGGTAATATGGAAGTCAGTGATCTTGTGGGCCTTGTGGCTTCTTGTAAGGAGTGCAGCAAGCATTTGTTTAGGGCCTAGAATGTGTCAGGCACCTCTGGGAGTTAATAGGTGGTGTCAAATGGCTAAGTCACAGCTCCTGACCTTAAATTGCTTGTGATTTAGTACTGAGAACGCAGGTGCAGACACCGTGGGACCAGTAGATGGTTTCAGCTGCATCTGACAAGGGATGAGACAATGTTTGTGCAGGGTACAAAGGGAATATGGAGAAAGGGTTCTTATCCCAAGATGGGCTTTAAGAAAGGAAGAACACCTAAAGCTAAGCACAAGCTGTGATTTGAAAGAGATATGAGTGGTGAGGGGAAGAAAGGTGGGAAGTATGTCCTAAGCAGAGGAAACAATGTCAGTGAAGACTAGTGAGGCAAGGAGTAGTCTGGAAATTGACTGGCATGACTAGCTTGCTGAGAATTTTGTGGGTTTTTTTTTTGACTCACTGAGTGAATGATACTGAGAAACCGCAAGAGGAGCGGGCTTAATGGGGAGAACAGTGAGTTCAGTTGTGAGCACGTGACATTCACAAGGTGCATGTGAGACAGCCATGTGAGTATACTAGCAAGTCCATGTGTACCTAAGGGAAGTTCAAGGGAGAAGACAGGGCTAGAATGTAGATTAAAGTGTATGAGCTCACTCAGAATGTGCATGCATGTAAGAAAGAGCAGAGCATTTGTACAAGCACCAATGTTTTTGAGGCATACCCAAGCAATGAAGAGCACTTGATCAATATTAAGGAGAGGGGAGTGTCAGAATTTCCACTACGGTTAAGTACAGCAGAGAGATCTAGAAAAAACGGACTGGAAAGTGGCAACTGGAATAGCAGTAAGAAGGCTGCTTTCAGCAGGGCGATGGGGGGTTAATCTTCCCTCCCTTTCCCATCTCAGTATTCCCCCAGTTCCTTAGACCTAGAGCTGATCACTCCTCCCCTCCACCCCCTAAACACATGCATATGTAAGTTAGCGCTGATGGCCCCATCACCATTGCTGGATGCAGTCTGTATGCTTCAGCTACAGGCTGGGAACATGATTTTATTAGGATCTGCAGAAACAAGAGTCAGTTACCAGGGCCAGTATGGGTTACAGAAGGAATAAGAGTATGACATGGTCCACTCCTGGGTAAAAGGATGGGTGATGCCGGAACATGAATGGAGCTCAGGTCACAGTCAGTGTATGCATGAGCCGAGATCCAGAACTGACAGGATCAATTGTTACCTGGATCCAGCCTCAGTGTTCCTTATTATGGAATTTCTTTTAAATTTCCAGGAGCCTGCCTTCCCAGTGTGCTTCTCTTGTCTTAAGAGTGCTTTTCAGCATCTGATACCAGCATTCATCCAAGTATCCTTGCCGTCAAAGGGCTTTTTGGGATTGATCCTGGGCATCTTTGTTGCACCTAAACCGTACTTCTCTCCTCTGTTCCCCCAGTGACTTACAGATTATACTACTAGGCTTTTTCTTTGATCCCTGTTCCTTAGCTCAGATTGATTAATCTTCTAGTATCCAGCTTCCCATATAGGACCAGGTCCTTGATCTGACCCCCATGTAGTGGCTGGACTTCCTGCAACCAGTGGAGTGGGGTCTGTGGAATTCTGCACTCTGTAGGTCTGAATGATGCTTGCCTGCGCACCCACCCACCCACCCACTGTGTGGACTTGGTACTGTTCCTCCCTGTGGGGAGAGCCCGTGATGCTGCTGGGCATCTGCGCTGCCCTGGCCGCTGTGCCTCAGCACAGTGGAGTCAGCCTCTGCGCTCTGGGTTGGTTTGCCCTGCCCCTCTACCAGCCAGTGTATACTCCATGGCTCTGAGCAAATCTGTTTCCTTCCGTCTCTTTCCATGATCATTTCTTCTTGTTAGGATAGTGTCCAGGAAGAAAATGGGCAAGTATGCGGCAAGAGATTAGTCTTTTCTTACTTTCTCTCCTTACTTCCCTCTTCCTTCCTTCTTTGCTTCAACTAGTCTTCTATCTACTGTTAGAATTAACCTAGGACACCCTGTGAATTTGATATACCAAGGTCAAGCAGAAGGAATGAGTTACATTTTTTCAAAATAGAGTAATTGTCAATTTAAAAGGCAAATACTTTTTTGTAATTTTTGTAATTACACTTTTTTTGTAACTTTTCCCCTTAAAGTTATATAGAGCAATAGTGAACATTGTAGTTGCATAATTGAAAGCTGTGCACTTGTCCTTGTGCGTGTGAGGTTGCTGTGGAGTCTCACACGATCCTCCGAGGTGCTCAGCTGGGTTTATCAGGACTGCTCTGTCACAGTACTTATAAGGGCAGCTTTGCTGTATATAAGCTCAGGATGGTTTTGCAATATATTTTTCTCTTTTCTGTGATGAACATAATTAAAACAGTTCTAGGAAAAAGAATACTCTCACCAGATGAGTTTCGCTTTCTCTTCCCAGAAAATTAGAACCATGTAATCCATTCACTTGTCTGTCTTGCCCAAACTTCCTGATATCTGAACCGAATTTAATGTTCAGTTGCAGGAATTATTTCATTTTAGATGTTAATGACATCTGCTTCTCTGCTCATTTTAACAGATTATTGTTCCTTTTTTATTGTCTGATTTTATAGCTTTTAATTGCATCAGCAATGGGAAATCCCTTGGAAACAGGTGGGATATAAACACACATACCTCTATATGAAATTAAGATAGTTTGGGTCACAAAATGGGGACATAGAAATGTTGCTGTAGTGTTTCTTTGATGTGGGGTGTGTACATGTGTGCCTCTGTGTGTGTGCGCAAAAATCTCCCAAGTGAGGAAAACTCAGAATACTGTTACATTTTTGAAGAGGAAAGAATATATTGCCCTAGTGAAAAGGTTGTCTTAATCCCAATATACCTAATGAAACATTTAGAAGCACTTAGTGTTTTTAAGTAAATATCTTACTCTGTGTCCCTAGGGAAAGTAATTAATCTGGGTATGGAGTGTTCACTTGTTTTCCATTTTTATTCTTGACCAGTAGAAACTGTGAGGATTGCTATATATTTTTTATGGCAAATGATCACTGTGCATACTTAGAATAAGTGGTGTCAGTGCATTACTGCAGGAACCAATTAAATGCCCATAGTTTCTTATAAAGCCTATTGAAATTATCTGCTGCTTATTTACAGTGATTAAAATAGAATTTTGAAGCCTGCAAATTGATGAAACCCTTCAAAGAAGTAACATAATTAGAGAGCCTATTGTTTTTTTCTTGGTACATAATTATAGGATGTGTATGACACTCTTGTAATATAATTAAAAATTAACATCTCACCCTTTGTTATCAAGGCCAGGAGGTTTCAATTATTGTATTCATAAATCTCTGAACTTGTTCATTTGGGTAATGTTCTTAAAGTCAGCCCAGCCAGTTTTATTATATTGAAATCAAAGGTAATCCAGCATGTTCAAATAACCTTATATTAGAACCTGAAAATCTAATGAGGCTTGTATGTTCTGTGTGCTTTGGCTACAGCCCTACCACTTATGTTTTGGATGAAGATGAACCTCGATTCCTTGAAGAAGTTGATTACAGTGCAGAAAGTAATGATGAGTTAGATATTGAATTAGCTGAAAATGCAGATTATGAACCTTCTACTCAAGAAGAAGTACTTTCTGATTCTGAATCATCAAGAACATACTTACCTTGAGCCCCCCTGCCATCTCTTGTAAATGCAAAGAAGAAATGAAATATCTTGATTTTTATTACACAGGAAGTTTGAAAGAAATGAGTTTATAGAGAGCTGACTCATAAAAACAAAAAGAAACTTGAGCCTGTTTGGTTTCAAGACAATAAATATGTTATTAATTCATGATAAAATTGGCATTTGTTTTATTTAAGCTATTCAATGCACTTTATATAGCATTGAATTATCAAATATTGGATTTACTTTTTTAAAGGAAAACCTGAGTATCATTGCATGAATTTTTATCTCCTCATGGTTATGTCCTGCATCAAATGGATAATTTTGAAGTGTGTGAGAACATAAAATCTGAATTCTAGAATTGTTGAGAAAATCCAAGCTTCTGAAAACTGATCTATATGTACATGGACTTCTGTAGATATGTCTGTGTAGGGACGGGTGGGTGTGGACAATAAGACTGTTCCTCTGAATCATGTTAACCGTTGAGTTGTGACTGAGATAATCCGGAATTTGCCTTGAAACCATTACATCCTACATTTACCAAATTAAACAAATAAAAACTATATTAAACGTTGCATTCATTTCGTCATCCTTTTTAACCAACTCAGATTATTGGTTTATAGAATCTTAGTGAAAACATGATAAAAATCCAACATCTGAACACATTGATAAAATTTTGTTTAAAAAATGCCTAGTTTACCAGTGTTGTGTTTCATGGTATGGGTGTGCCTCTACTGATCATAAAAGATGTGTTTGAGCAGCTCTTTCGTCTGGAATTGAGTCTCATGAGTGCACCTAAAGTTTATCACTACAATCCGTTTTGTTAAGAAGCTTTAAAAAGGCAATGAGCATACAACCTAGTGTTAAAGGTATAGTTGTATATAAGCTTATGTAGCAGTTCCTGAGCTGTGCTATGTTATTAGGCTTACTGAAGTGAATTCACTTGGGGCGTGATAACTGCTCTCCAGTCCTAAATGACTGCAGTGAATTTAAACTTTTTTTTTTTTTTGTAGCGACATCTTCCCAAGTTTAAGCTGTCCTGCTGCAGGAATGACTCTGTTTTCAAATAAGACAAGTCCAGTGATTTTGTTTAAGTGCTTTAAGAACTAAGTTTCTGTTGTAACAAAATAAATCCAAAAAGATACCTCATTCACAGCTTCTTGCAGGTGCTTAGGTTTCGGCACATTATCTTTGGTTATTGCTGATTCAATTTGTCAATCTTTAAAATTTTTTTAACCTGTAATAATTGGAAAGAAATTACAAAAGGTGTATTTCAAATTTTTGCATTTTCCAAATCACGATTTTCATTGTATTATTTGAGGCGTTATAGTCCATAGCGCAGCTTTTTTCAGTGTTATGGGAACCATGTTTAAAAACATAGCATGGAGCAGGGGATAAAGGAGTCTTTTTCTCTAAATAGCCTAATTCTCATTAATCTCAGAAAATAAAGACTAAATAGATGGTGAAGTTGAAGAAAACCTTAGTGTGTGGTGACCTGATTTAGGAGAGATTAGGATACTCTAGCAAGGTTAAGTAGTATTTATTTAATAATTTGTCCAATAATTTATAATTAGAAGGTTACTTATATATTTTGTTTGTGAAATAATTACACATCTAATTATAATTTTTTCAGAGTAGATTATGAAGCCACTATGTCTGTATTGTGAGTTTTTCCTGGTTCTTATAACATTAGAAATTAAAAACAGCAGTAGTCATTATGAAAAGCGAGTACATTAGTATAATAATGTGCAGAATAACTCAAAACTTCAATTACTGTGTTAAGCAGTATAAAAACCCCTTGTCATGTACTGTTATAATATTTTGTAGTGATGAAGCTCATCTTTTAGCATATGTTATAAATCTGAATATGCCTTTTATTAAATAATTATTCGCAGGACTAAAGAGAAAGTTTATATGGTTAGAAAGTTATTTTTTTCCTTAAACAATAAATAGCTTTGGAAACACGAGAAATAATCTAAAATCCTAACTTCCCTAATTAGAAGTAAAACTGTTTCATTGGCCGTTATTAGTTAAAATTGCCCTAAATCTTACCTCTGTGGCTATGTCCCCTTTAGAATTTTCAAAGAATGTTTGTCATAAGCCTGAAAATTAACGTGTAGCTGATAAACTGAGTCTAATGATAGATTTAGATTTATTTACCCTGTGTTTGGAACCACAGTGAGTTTCTTAAATGTAGCTATGGTCTAACCCAGTGGCTCTCAAACTGCATAGCATACATCAGGCTCGCCTGGAGGACCTGCTTCTCGATCCAGGGCTTACTGGTTATGTAGACCTGGGGTGGGTCCCCTGCACTTGGCATTTCTTAAAAATTCTCCAGTGGTAATGCTGTAGGGCCCACTCTGTGAGAGCCATGGGTCCGATCTCTTTCATGATCACGTGTTCCTAAGAATCAGAGGACCTGTGAATTGGAAATTAGCACCAGAGATGATAAGTAACTTGTAGAATCAAGGAAACAGACACCCAGCCACAGGGTTGCTTGGGCGACACCAGGGTTTCAGCCCAGGTCTCCTGACCACTAGCCTCGTGTTCTTAACACAGAAGGAGGTGCTACCCTCTGCCTTTCCCCACAGAGTGAGAAATGTTAAAAGCTCAGGGTCTCTCCTGAGTTTGTGAAATGCATGAGGGCAAGGCAGGATGCAGAAACTTGTGATTCACGTTGGCTTTTCCTCCATGCAGTCATAGTGTTGTTTGAACACAAGATTTTTGTCCAACATTACTTATCTGCCGCTTTTTCCAGTTTGTTATTTGTCTGAATCCTAAATAAAATAAGTAACCTGGAGTTGCACTTCAGACAGCATATTAACAGCAATGAATACAGTACTTTTAAATTTCAAATATCCAAATAAAGATGACCATATTATTATGAGCACTGAGATTGGTAATATAGTAAATGTACTAATGGATTTGTCTTTGTGCATGATCTAGAAGTAAATGGCAGCCATGAAACTGTAAATGTATCTTTATAAATCCTTTTGTTTTTGATACACTTTAATCATAAAACATTAATAGAAGAATCAGTGAATTTTTCTGTTATTTTCATGAGGGTTCAGGAGCCATATGTAAACCTTAGTTGTCTCCACTTGGAAAAACCCGTTGAAGCAATACTTTCATTGAAAGGCTCCTCTACATTGTATAATTATTAATGTTTAAACAAATATTTCTCTGGTTAAAGTGCATTTAAATTCCTGCACAGAAAAAAAGGGAATTCAGAAGAAAGTCTCATTTTCTTTATGAGAATTAATTTTTTGGAGGTTTAGTTCTTGAAATGTCACATTTCAGTTGTTTATCACTTCAGTGATATTTACAAAGCACTTACCTCTACTGGGTTGACACCGGGGAGAGGGAAGTCACCCTTCAGTGCCCTCCCTCTTCTTTCTAGACCCTGAAGGGTAACAGGCCTGTTGTTTCCCACTCTGCCTCATAAGCCTCCTTTACAGGCTCTTTTCACCTCCTGGTCTCTTCTGTCTTATTACCTTATTCACAGCGTGGCTGGTTGCTGGGGGCATTGAGTTATTAAACTCTTCTTTTTCAGTTTGAGGTTGCTAAATATGCAGTGCCTAAATCCAAGTGAATGACCCTTTTATGGTGGCATTTGAGGCATCATGCAGGCCAGGTATTTTGGAGCCTGGGACATGGTTGACACTGTTGAGGGCTGAAGCAATTCTGTGCATGCACATTCATACTCACAAACCCCTGTGAAGTGGAAATGGATTGAGGAACTCCTCTATTTAGCCTTAAACAGCTGAAGAGGTTTCACTCCAAATATTTAGAAAGGTTTCCTTTCATCATACCAAATGCAGGACTCTCCCTCTCAAAGACATCATTGATAGAGCGCCAAGTAAAAATGAGGTGAGCAATAACAAGAATCTGAGAATAGGTGTTTTTCATGTACTTTTAAGTCACAAAGATCTGTGACAAATGGCAAATGTGTAGAAATGATAAAAGGCAAAGATGCTCATAATTGAAAATTAATATAGAAAAAGCTAGAGTTTAATAAACAAAAGTAAAGTCTGCATCTGTGAAAATAGGTTGGCTTCTCTAAACTCCTTTTCTAGCTGACGGTGTAATTAAGTAGGTAATTTTAAGACTGGAAATTTATTTTCATGTCTAGTGCTAAATATTTACTGAAGTCATGTTATCTACTCTTTACAGTGTCATGACTTTATTATTTAAACTTTCCCATTCTTCATACCACCTACATGATTATTTGTTTCTTCTGTCTTCCTCAGGAATTCTTAGAAATGCTTAACATTTCATGTTTCCTTTTTCTTTCAGAATGTGGGCACTTGAACAGAATGAATGAATTGGATTTCATGTAAAAAGATAAATTTTAAAATCCAAAGGATGATAATTTGTATTTAATGTAGAGCGAGGGGTGTCCAGTGCATAACCACCTTTGCTAACCTTTATTTCCCCATCCTGAAGAGCTACACAAGATGAAAACAAAGAACCCCTATCACTTATGCTAAAATCCAGATCACTGATAGCACAGAGTGGACATAGTGTGCTTGTTTACCAAATGCTCATTCTCTCCCTTGTCCAAGCCGCTGTTTGAGATCATGGTCCGAGGCCACCAGCTGCAGTGGGGAAGCACATGGCCTGGGCTGACCAGTCAGCTTGTTCTATCTGCTGGTCTGGAGTTGGCCCATGATCAAGCCCATCTAGGAACGAATGTATGTCAGCACTTTTAAAGGTGATGCTAGAACAGAGGCCCCTTCTGGGAAAGGAACGGTAGAGCCGCTGGCGGCCACCAGGCGTCCTTGAGTGGAGAGCGTTTCTGAGAAGAGCCAGCATTGAAGGAGCAGAGCCAGGACATCAAGAAACTCTGGGTCCTTTGATCATTGGAGCCCCATGTCACACTCTAAGTGGAACCTTGGACTGCATCAGTTATATGGACTTACAAATCGTTCTCATTGTTTAAACTATTCAGTTGGATTTTCTGTTACTGGAAAAGGTATGTCTGTTACACAGGTTTATATGTCTGAACCCTGTCTGAAAAGCCAGCAACCTACAGTGTCCATCCCTGTGGGGTGGCCCCACCCAAAGCACATGACCTAAGAGAAGTTCTTTTACCCAAAGGGACACTCTGAGAAGGCAGAAACATCAAATGTCCACTCAGACATGTCGAACAAACTAATTTTTGTTTTGTATCGGACCAGTTGACTGGACTAGAAGTGAACCATATTTTTGCCATTGCCTGCTCAAAAGTCAGGGATTCAAGTCATGGCAGTTGTCAGTGGTTTCAGAGATAATGTTGTTCCCAGAGTGGACTTCTCAGCATCTTGAAAGTTCGTTCTCTCCAGTGGTAATGGAGGACACAGGTGGTGTGCATTGAAGGCGAGGACTTCTTTACTGTTGCATCATAGCAACAGGTGGGCCCAGAGAGCAAGCTGAGAGCAATCAGTGACCCCTTTGTTGAGTTACAATTGGTCTAATTGTAGACCAGTGAGCAAGAACAATGGGATGACGTCTAGGTATTCTTCAGTTACCAATTTCAAAGCTATTTCCATCCACCCACTGGTTAGAGCTGCAAATCCCTGTCTTTCATTCACAC